AAAAAGTAATGATGGTTTTACCAGGTGTAGCAGCTGTCGGAAGGCGAAAAAGCACACGTCAAAGCTTGGTGGACAACTGGGAAGACAGGTGTCGAATGGGAAGTTCAAAGAATGGCTATTTCTTTGAGCGTCGAGATAGACATTCTTGGGGGGAAATTTGTTGGCTCCCAAATTCGACACTTACTATATTTGGTCTCTTTGACCAAACAACTGGAAATGAACTAAACCAGGAGGTATAATTCGACACATGAGATAACTTAAGGAAAAGGATCCAAGGTATGATAAGAATCTTCGACCAAAGGTTCATTCAACTGAAGCAGATTTAGGTTGTTCGACTGAAGGAAAGTGTTCGCGCCTTGGCACATGGGACGAAGACCATTTTGAAATTTGAATTATTGGAGGGAAAGGTGATTTTCATCAGTGTCTAAGGGAAGGGAACGTGGCAAAAAGCTATGGGTCGAGAGGCATGCAGAAGACACTTGTCTTCATCCTAAGCGCAGAATGTCCCCTCGACTGTTACCTACTTTTAGTATAAATTAAGAAGTTTGTGTAATTTTTAAGGGTGTTCAACTTATGGTACTAAATCTCTCAAATATTATCCAAGTAACTACTGCGTGAGAAAGGATAAAAAGCAGAGCAATGTACGTTAGAAACACCTTTTTCACTTAATAAAAGTCTTTTTACATTACTTTACCATTATCTTGCAAAGTTATCTTTTTACTTCTTTTACTTGCATTTTTATGCTTTTGCTTATTGTTCAACAATCTTAAACATCTTTCCCCTGGGTCGAACATGTGTTCTTCCTTCTTGCTCACTTTACATAAAGATTAGCATATGTTTTGGGATTAGTTTGGTCGATCCCACAAGTAAACCAAAAAACTTACCTTTTGGAGACCAGCGGTTGTTTACCAAAAACAACGGTAAACAATCTCCCACCAGTGTGGCATCTAAAACATCGTCAGGATGTGGTAATAACACATCCTTCTCCAAAGCAATGTCAACCGATACTTTCAAACATCCAGTAGGGAGCGATTTAGTGTGAAGTAATTCTCCCAAAGTGTTATGCACTTTTCCCTTGCCAACCATCCGATAAGTCGGTGACGATAAGTAGAGTTGACAAGGTGAAATGCCCTAAAACCAATAATAAATTTTAAAAACTGTTATTGTGTATATATTTTAATTAAATAAATTAAGCTACTTTAATTTCATAATGATATATATAATTACCTCTGGAACATTCGTTTGAAAATTACAACCGATACTACCTTTGTCACTAGTAGCTTTAAAACCCGAAGCTTGCTCTCTTAATTCTTTTTCCCTTCTCAATTCACGGACTTCAACTTGTAGTGCTTCCAAGGTTTCCTGCGGTTCTTTATTGCTAGGAGTCTTTTGTGTTTTCATCTTCAAGGATTTTGGATTGATTCTAAATCCCTTACCCCTCACCCGACCAGAATACTCACGAACATCTAATACTTGACTAAGTATACTCCTGCAATCATTGTCTTCATCTGGACATATAGACTGAGATAAAGTCTCCTGAAATTCATATGAATATTGAAAATTTATCTTAATTATATGTTACTAAACTTTTGATTTAATTAAAGAAATAATGCTATACTTACACATTTCTCAAAAACTTTTTGAACATCTTCTTTAACAACTTCATCCTTACCCACACGGGCTTTCTTCCACAAAACATGTGCCGGAAGAGATGTTTTGGAACTATTCTCCTTTGTTAACTACACATTAAGCCAAATAATATGATCAAATATAATTCATGATGAACAAGTATATCATTGCAATTTATAGATACTTATGATAGACTGTTCTAAGCGTCCATATCCAATACGCCATTTTTTGTATGGATACGCGGGACTTGATGCTCTTTGCCGATTTGTTTCACTTACACTCTGAAATTCTTGGGTTTTTCGTTTGGCTTTAAATGTTCCCCATTCTTTAGGTGAAACCAAACTTGCATATTTAGATGGAAGCTCTGCATTAACAAAAAATTTATCCGCATCCCTAAGAAACTTGATATTTAAAAAAGTCTTAAACCCTCTTAGTAGTTTTCTGGCCAATCGGAGACCAAAAGTTCTTCTAGTATCATCAATGTTGTTGAAAGACCTCTACGAAAAACATACACAAAGTGCGTTAGTACAAGTAATTTAAAGACATAATCGTCATTAAAAATAAATTGGAACTTCATTAAATATGGTACTTGTATCTCACTCCAAATTTTTTCTTTAGATTCTTTCAACTCTCGTTTTCTCCAATCATCACAAGTAATTGGAACTTCATTCCTTACAAGTGCACCAATAAAACTTGTCACGGTTGAACCTAACGGATCAATTAGTTGGCCACTTTGGCTCCAATGCACATCTAATTTTATGCCTCGGTCTCTATCACGAATGAATTTCTTCATAACGGTTATTCCCCGTCTAATTTCTCCTTCCTAATCAATAACGGTCTCATGATCTCCATCATCAATAGCATCATCATGTGGATGATCCTCGTTACTAGCCATCTAACCTGTAATAAAGAAAAACATAAACCCGATATAAAAATCCATAATCAATTGAATATATAACAAATGACAAATAAAGAAGAGCATATAAATTTATTGAAAATGACATAATATATAACATTTTACTATATTACCTCTTTCACTAACATCTCTTTCTTTTCTTTGTTGGAATATGAATTACTTGTTTCTTAGCAATGCGGACATCAGAATTGATCAAAGAACTCATTTTGTTACATAATTTAAGAATTGAAACATTGAAAATTAATTTTAACACATGATTTATTCGATTAAATAAAAACCGGGCAGCAACTATAACAAGTTATGAATGCTCGATAGTTTCAACTCAAGAAGATTCGAAACAAAATGGGAAAGCACCCGATGTCACAACCATGCGAACTTTCGAATTTAAATCAAATTACACAATAAAGTTGTCTGAATCTCAAAGCAACGGAAAAAGATGAATTGCTGCCCCATGAATGGTTCTCGACTATATCTTTTGCGAATAACGCGGCATAGACATCAAGCCGTCATCGAAACCAAAATAAAATCAAACTATCACAACAAAGTGGCACCGTAACCGAATTAAACCTTGAATTCATAACAACATGCATCAAAATCTCTTTCAAATTTTCTCACACAAAGTGACACAACATTGATTTCAAACCCGAAACTCTAACAAATAAAACAAAATGGGTAGCCCCAATAGTTTCTCGATTAGTTTATACACGAATAAATGTGACATCGACATCCAACCTTCATCGAAACTAAATAAAATCGGACAGCCTAACAGAGTTTATATCACTAACTAATCGAACTTATAAACAGGTCACAGGTTTTGCAGAAATGTAGAAGGAAATATCTAGAAATGTAGAAGGAAATGAATACCTAGAAATGTAGAAGGAAATGATGAACCAAGCTTAACAAAACCAAATGTTGGTGAAATGGTTGATAGAAGTCCTACAAGAGAGTCCAAAAAACTAAATACTATAAACCAAATACCCAAAGAACCATAGCAGCAGTAGAGATAGAAGCAAGGGAAACTTACCTTGAGATACGGTGGAGGACGACAACTGAGGGACGGCGGAAGAAGGTCGGAGGATTGGCGGAAGGAGGGTGGTCGGAGGGACGGCGGAAGGAGGGCGGTATCGGAGGAACGACGGAAGGACGAAGAGAAAAGTGTTACGTTTCTGGAGGTCTGTGAATAGAAACGAGTTCTGGTGGGATTCTATTTTTAATTCTAATTATACGACTTTAGACAACGCTTTTGAGAAGCGTTGGCTAATATGGGCCTTTAGCAGCGCTTTTTTAAGATTTTTTTTAAAATTTATATGACTTTAGACATCGCTGACTAATGTGGTCCTTTACCAGCGATTTTTTTAAGCGTTTTCTAAAGCAACCCTTTTAGCAGCGCTTTTCATATTTTTTTTTTAAATTTATATGACTTTAGACAGCGCTTCGGAGAAGCGCTGGCTAATGTGGTCCTTTACTAGCGCTTTTTTTAAGCGCTTTCTAAAGCAACCCTTTTAGCAGCGCTTTTCAGAAGCGCTGTCTAAGATTGGTCTTTTAGCAGCGCTTTTACTTATTTTCGTATACAGTTTCCGTGTTTTATTTTTTAATTTACTTATAGTAGTGCTTTTGTATAAAAGCGTTGTCTAAGGTGCGCTATCTAAAAGCCTTTTTGGCGTAGTGAACCAATCACCGACGTGAACTTCACGTCGCATCCTTGCCACGTGAGATTTACGTCGCAATCCCTAACGTTATAATTTAAATCAACATCAACCAATCAGCGACGTGAATTTCACGCCGCAACCTTGCCACGTGAGATTCACGTCGCAACCCCCAACGTTATAATTTAAACATCAACCAATCAGCGACGTGAATTTCACATCGCAACCTTGCCACGTGAGATCCACGCCGCAACTCCTACAATGATTATATTTTTTATTCAATCAACTTGAACGTTTCAGTATCATTTCACGTCAAAGGCATGCATTTTCCCTCTTAAAAATTTGTGACGTGTTAAACGCATCACAATAAATTTTGTTGCAAAATTCAAAATTACATCCTTCAAAACGCATGACGCTTTATATATTTTTATTCTACTTTTTATGTTGTGATGTGTTTTCCACGTCACAATTTTTTTATACAAAAATAAAGTCTGATTGGCAGAGACCAAACCTTACTTTTATTATTTAAATGTTAAAATAAAATAATAACATGATTATCACGTTGTAATTGTTAAATTTTTATGACATGATAATCACGTCACAAAAACATATCATTGAAGAGCATATTTCTCACGGAGAATATCCTACGAGATCCACCTAATTTTCAATATATCTTTCTCTCGTAAATAAAGTTCATCATTTCTTTGAGAAGTGTAACATCATAATCCCTCTAAACACACACAACACCACTATATATTTTATAATTATACATCACCCCTAATAATATATATCACATTTATCTACTATACTTAAGTTGAAACATTAGTCCCTAACTGAACTTGCGATACACGATCATTATCAACTCCTTTACCGTTCTTCGGTTTCGCCCAAATTTTCCCAAAAGACTCTCCCATTTCTTCAAGTGTTTTCCCCTGTGTTTCGGGAAGCATAATATAAAAGAATATCCACGCAATTGTAGCAATACCTCCAAACAGAAAAAAAGCTCCACCAATAGTAATCGCTTTTTGCAAGGACAAAAACGTCATTGAAATAACCCCACTTGTAACCCTATTCACCACAACACCCACAGCAGCACCTTGTGCCCTCAATCTCAAAGGAAAAATCTCAGAACTATACACCCACGTGATGGGTCCCGCACCAATCGAAAACGTCGCAACATAAGACAAAACAGTCGCTATACTCAATCCAATGGCCCAGATTAGTTTCGTTTTTGAATGATCAATAATCGTAAGGCTGACAGCGAGTGTGAGAAGCGAGACCACCATACCTCCGACACTTGTTAACAACATCGGACGACGACCGAATTTGTCTAGGTTAAAAGTAGCCACTAATATAAAAACGGTTTTAACAAATCCAACGGCTATTGTGCAAAGAAGAAGATTTGTGTCACCTTTGATCCCAGCTTTGTCGAAGATTTTAGGACTATACAAAACAACCGCGTCTATACCTGATGCTTGTTGGAAGAAATGAATCCCTAATGCAGCTATAACAATATGACGAACTGCGGGTGTAGGATAAATGAAAAGCTCTTTCCATACACCCTCACCGGTGTTTTTGTTTTTTACCTCAACAACGTCGTCGTTGCAATCTTCCGGTATTCCGGCGGCTTGTTTTATCTCGGCTAATCTGAGCTGGGCCTCTTCTTTGGAGTCTGATGTTTTGTTGAGGACTTTTATAGCGTCTCCTAAACGACCTCGCATTACAAGCCATCGCGGTGACTCTGGCATGGCTAACACTCCGACGGCCAGGATTACTGAAGGAATTGCCCCTACTCCAAGCATCATTCTCCAACCAATTTTAAGTGGGAGTTTTGAAAATGCATAGTTTGATACGTATCCAAGTAATATTCCACTGTTTATGAAAACCTGAAAATATAGAATCAATTCAAATATTATTAGTAAAGAATCTATGCAGCATGTCTGAAAAGAAGTAACAGAGTTGCTTTTCCATTTTCAGCAAAAATTAGTACTTTTTTACATAAATTTATTTTAGATTTATCTCCTTTTATAACTGTATATGATTAGAAAAAAAGTGACATATTTATTATTTTCATTAAGTCCCCTCAGTTAATAGTTGGACAGATAAATACGATTATACAGGCTAATTACCTCCGGAAAAGAAGTGAGGAAACCGCGAGAGGAAGCGGGGGAGACTTCAGCGGTGTAAACCGGGGCAATCATGAGGGCGTAGCCAATACCGATTCCGGCAATGAAACGGCCGAACATGAGGAAAGCGTAGTTTGGTGAGAAACCCATGAGTAAGGCTCCGACGAAGAAGATAGCACCGGCAAAAACAATGGTGTAACGGCGACCGATCCAATCGGAGGTTCTGCCGGCAAGACAAGAACCTATGAGAGAGTAGATGTTAATGATTCCCATCATAACCTCAATTTGAGTGTCCGAGACTTTAAGATCTCTTTTTATGTAGATTGCTGCTCCACTCATAACACCAATATCTGTAACATAATAATGACATGTCAAAAATCAACATTTAATAGAAAGTGGATATGATTTATATGAGTATGATAAATGAATACATAAGTTACAAAAACAAAATAGTGTAGTTTAGTTAATTACCGTATCCAAGTAAAATGGAAGTCATGGAAGCTAACATAGCACAAGCAAAAGCATATTTGTTTCGCTTAGGTTTCTTCTTAGGATCGAAATCTTGAAGGTTTTTTTGAGTTTTTGCTTCAACTACCTTACTTTCACTCATCTTGCTACTATGAAAAAAGAACACACTAATATGAAAGTGTGTCAAATTGTTAGTACTAGGTGCTATCTAGTTTTTCTCTTTTTAAGTATAAGATGAAGTTGGCAAGTTGTTATATTATATAGGCCAAATGCTTACGTCAGCGTAGACCAATAAGTCTTCCCACATGGTATAGTATAGTTGAAACGTCCACACTGTCTATCTCTTACTTAAAAACGTAATCTTCATTGTGTGACTCAACAAGCTAGACACGTTGTTTATTTATTTTTTAAATATTTGTATGTGTGAAATGGTGAAAGCAAACTGTACTCGTGGTAGCACCAAGTGACTAAATGACAAAAGTACACTGGCGAATATGTTGAATATCATTAATGTATGCCAAACTATGCAATGAGTAGAGAGATTCACAACACAACGATTATTTGTTTTGATTGATTCACAGCCTCAATTGATCGTTCCAACCTTGAGAGAGAATTACTAGCTACCACAAATATAACCGTATTACTTATCGTTGGAGAATTATTAATTATATTACGGGTCGAATTTTATGTCTGACTATTTGTGTTTTAATCTAACCCCCTTAATGTGTGGTCCAACAGCGACACTATAATTATGACAACTCTTAGGGAGATGAAGGACGAGAATCTGGCACGAGGCACTAGGTCTCCATCGTCTTGGAGGCAGTTGCTGTCTTTTTCAATTGCTCAACTATTTTTCGAGTTCTCCAACCTTCGACCTTTCTCTACCGTTTCAGTTAGGAGTTTTTTTTCATACTTGATATAGTGTTGGATCTTAATTAAGACATCATTTAGCCATTCGACTCTTTTCAATCCTAACTTCTCGCGGAACATGCAATCGGCTTTCAACCTCTTCTTGAATATGCAACACTTAAACTCGTCATTCTCTCCTCCGACTTCTATTGCCACTTTGATAAACTGTCCTATGTATTCTCATAGGGTTTCTTTCTTCTTTTGTTGAAACTCACTAAGTACGACTATTTTAATCATTGTCGCTTTCTAGTAGTGAACAGGGCAATAATGAAATTGTAGAGTTCCTTCCATGAATTTATGAAATTGTCGGCCATGGTCTTGAACCACGTCATAACGGCTCTTTTGAGAGTCAACACAAATAGATTGCATTTTATAACTCCAGTAGTATTGAAGCATGGTGCCTACATGTTCAATGTGCTAGTCTAGATCTCTCGTGTCATTATAGCTATTCAACTTCAAAGGCTTCTCAAGAGACTTTAGAATCTTATTGTCGATGATGTGCCTAGAGAACGAGTTCCTCCTTCGATCAGAAACTCGCACTTTGATGTCATGTCTCTCCTTTCTTTGAGAATGGTGTGATGGCGATCGATGAGGATGACGAGCTTCTACTAGAGTGTGAGTGCCACCTCTTCCTCCAGAATCAAGTGAAAGAGATCATGTTCTCAATGTTGCATACGATCAGGTGATGTAGGAGCCACTCTTCATGGAGAGGCGGTGTCGACAAGGTTCAATTTCAGCGTGATTTTCTAGTTGACGCGTGTGTTTCTAGTTGACGCGTGTGTTAGATAAGTGACTTCAAATACAAGAAGAGAAATAAATTGTGATGCTTTGAAAAACAATATTTTTATAATACCTATTATATCTTCTATGAAGATTGAATCATATGAGTTTTATGTGAAACATCACGTCCCAAATAAAATTTGACCCAAATATGATAAATGTATATTTTTGGGATATCTAATTAAACTAGATCATATTATATTTATCTTCCCTATGATGAAAGGGTGTTTCTTAGGAGAATTAAGTATTCCTATATAGGGATTTTATATCTAAGGAGCTAGTGGAAGAAATATAGATCTAGAGCAAGTCCAAAATCCACAAATACATCTCTTGTGATAGAATAAATGGTACATTGTTACTTTTGATGCTCTTAGTTGTTTAATTGAGCATAAGATAAATAAGGATTTTGTGATAATATTTATATGTTTGATCTAGATGACATGTTGATGCATGGAACTAAGTATGTAATAGTCAAGGATGAAGATTCTTGGTTATGGCATAGGCGCTTAAGTCACGCGTATTTTGACTTGATAAATAAAATAGCATCTAAGAATCTAGTAATCAGTCTTCCTAAAATGAAAATTTTAAAAGAGAAATTATGTGATTCTTGCCAAATGAAAAAGAAAATGAGAGTGTCATTTAAATCGAAAAGGATTGTTTTGACATCAAAACTCTCAAGCTTCTCCATCTAGACTTATTTGGCCCTTCACAGACAAGAAGTTTAAGAGGCTACTATTATAGATTTGTGATTGTTGATGACTATTCTAGATTTACTTGGACGTTAGTTTTAGCCCATAAGGATGGAACTTTTGAAGCTTTTGTTAATGTTGCTAAGCTTGTCTAAAATGTTTTTAGTTTGAAAATCATCACACTCCATAATGATCATGGTGGTGAATTTGTTAACCATCAATTTTAAAAATTTTGCACCGAAAATGGGATTACTCATAACTTTTCATGTCCAAGGACTCCACAACAAATGTCTTGTTCCTGACAAACACTTTGGATAATATCTCTGAAGTGAATCAGGAGAGACCGCAAATGTATTATAGTTTAAAGGTTATTTATTTGTTTGTATTTTTGGTGTTCTATGGTTAGCTTGTCCATTCTTCCTTCCCCAGGAGTCCCCTTTTATACTCCATCTCCACTTTAAGCTTATTTAAAAAGTGACTATTCGAGTATGATGATTTGATTAAGCTCATAACGTCTGTCGTCGCCATCAAGTGAGTGTAACGTCCTCTTCATCAATTTTTGTAACTTATATGCAACCTTGGAGCCTTCCTATAACCATTATCCCGAGCTATTATCTCGGTCCTCTGATTTTCTCATTTAGTCTTGTACCATTCTCGACACCCCAATATATTTCCTTGACTACCCTACTGGTAGTAACTCAGCTACTGCTACTTTTTGGCATTGCTAGGTACATTCGACTTGCATATCGGCTCCAAAGAATTTTGGGGTGTAAATATTCCCCCAATAACGAGGCCCAATAGGGTGAGGTGTTAGGACAAAGAATCCTTTAATTCTTCTTCCAAACTAGATGTTGTCTCTACCTAACTAGATGCGGATCCGACGGTCATCTGACGCTGGCGTGTGATAGTGGGTTTTCAAAAGTAATGATGAGGCACGTCCCACCAAATCTCTTCCCTTTTCTCGTCATGATGATTTTTACGGGGAAACTACTGCCATCATGACCCTAATTCAATTGGGTCCCTCCAGCTGTTTTAAGTTTCCTTTCATAAAGTCTCAAAATCCTTGTTTCTCTTTCTTACCTCTTTCGCTCTCCCTTTCCAATTCCTCCAACATCCATGCTCGTTCCCTCTTCTACCAACTGCTTGCCTTATCACATTCTAGGTAATATCCTTTTACCTTACTTATTTCCTTATTAGTTTTAGTAATGGTTCTCATACGTGAGTGCGATGGTTTGGGGAATACACCAATTCCCCAAAATGCACAAGAGAGAAGTAAGCTCTGGAATGAATGCATGAAAGAGTGTGAAGACCATTTGGGATGGGTAGAATTTGATCAAATCATTAGGAAAGTTTATTGTGACATTTTTTGCCTTATGGATACAGTGACTCAGAGTCCTCATCATCAAGTTCTATAGAAATCGTGATGGAGATGATTGGGTCCTATCAAGAGGTTTTAAGCTACGAGCATAGTATGATTGATGCTAGTGATATTTCTAAGCTTCGGTCCATCAGGAATATTTCTTCCACCACTAACGAGGAAGATGTTATGCTGGAACCCTGCGTGAATGGTGATAGAGTTTGTCTTACTCGTCCAAGAGGCGCGTCTGATGAATATTTTTACTTCTACTCCGGGGTGATTGAGGATTTCAAGATCTGCAACCCCTTTTACAACTTTGAAGTCAACCTCCTTAAAACCCTAAATATTCCCCCTCTCGATTACGTCCAAATGGTTTGGGTTTTATTAAATCCTTTGAAATCATTTGTGAGGTGATGAACATATGCCCCGAGTTATGTATGCAATGGAAGAGAGTCATCGCTTCTTGATTTACTAGACGGATAACCCGTTACCAGTGTACAACTTTGATTATGACAAGCTTGATGCCTTGAAGGTCCAAACATTAGTTGTTCTACATGTCTTCCGGGTGATGAAGGTTAAATATTTAATAAACATGGTCGATGACCAAGAATGAGTCTCTAGTGTTAGAATAAGATTTGGTTCTGCAATTATACCTCTGAGTTTTGATGATAACAACGAGTATGTTTGTATGAACAATTTTAGTACTCTAATGTTTGTTATTTTTTAGTATTTAACAAACATGTTTTGTTTCTGATGAAAGGCGTTGCCAAGTCATCAGAAGAGACCAAGTTTCGCTTATGTGCTACACAAGTTCTAATAAACGGTAGCAAACCACTTCAGAAGGCTCTGAAGTTTAGACTCTAATACGCGATCAAAGAAGCCAAGTTCTGAAGATCTGAAGACAGATGTTCTGATGAATAACTTAGATGTTGAAGACTTATGTTTCTGAAGATAAAGGGTTCTGAAGACCAAGTGCTGAAGACTCTGAAGATGAAGTTCTGAACACTTTGAAGACTTGAAGTTCTGATGACCCAAGTTTTATTTTCTTTCTTCTAACTCATGCTCAGTCAGAAGCCTCTAAAGTCAAGAAGATAAGAAGATAAGGTTATGTGGTACAATAGTACATGGTACAAACAAACGTTTATCTCCACTACCATGAAATGATAAACGCGTTGTACGATATTGTCCTCCATGTTGAAACAATCTGCCATCTATCTAAAATTTCCAGAAATGCCCTCCAACGGATATATTATTTTATTGGCTATATATATGCTTGAAGACAAATGAAAAAGGTTGCTAATTCACACGTTCTCTTAAAAGACTGTTCATAAGCATTCCTTTATTTTCTTAAGTCTATTGTTCTTGAAATATTGTTTACTATCAACTCGTGTAGAAGAAAATCTATTG